ACTTTCAACAGTATCACATCAAAAGTGTGTAGTAATTTCAGATTTCAGGTTTATATATTACTGGTCCATGCTTGGGTAGTGATGCCTAGAAGTTCCTTCATCTAGTGCTTGATCCGACTTTAAAAGATCAGCAGCGATCTTCTCAAGACAGGAGAGAAAAAGTCAAAGAGTGTTGAGTCAGCAATTGGGATAGTTGGATTCCCTCTCCCAAAGAAAAATGGCAGTAGCAGCCACAGCTGATGGATTCAGCCCGAGTTTGACCAAAATAAGACCAAATTGCAAAAGAAGTTTCCTCCAATCTTTCCCACGGCTAGCATCCATTTTTTTTAAGACTCAGATCAGGTGCTCTCTTCATTCTCTCTCAGACAACAGCCAAAAAACTTTGCTCACCGTCATACACAAACCTGATAGCATTTAACTGAATGAGTTGTACTAAAACTATTATGTGTGAATACATATACTAAATTACTTGTAGTAGATATATCAAGGAGACAATATTGGTACCACAATACATGCACTGAATACTTCATATGCACAATAATCAAAAGGGGCATATTTGTAGGCTCCACCAAACCTCAGGTTATGGGTAACATAGTCAGAAACCATGACAACATTCCAAAAAATACATATATGAAAACAAGGTGATCATATAATTGTTTTGACGATCCTCTTGGTAGGCATGCAGAGTTGCTGCTTCAAAGCAGGGAATCACTAAGTGAATAAAAGTATGGCTAATTTAATTAGAAACTATAACATGTAAGGGTAGATGATGGTCGGTATAAAACCACAGGCTTCTACACAGGCCTTTAGCTAGGAATTATAAATGGAAGTACACCTTAAATCAAGAAACATGTGACTGAGGTGCTGCTCTAATTCAGTTCTCTGATTATAGCTATGTTCATAGAGAAGACACAAACTGATGGATTGATAGCTCAGGAAAAAAAATCTCAGTTTCGGTGCTCGGGATAGCCAAATAGATCCTATAGAACGGAACTCACTGTCAACGCAATCGATCCTACAGTATGAGTTATCTAAAGCACAGTTTCAGCTACAGGTCATTGTTGTATCTATTCCATTATCTCTGACAGAATGTAGTAATTGCCTTCCAAATATATTCCTATGTGCTGAATTTTGTCCCTAGGTTTTTACACAGTTGTCATAACAGAGAGCAATTTGAAATTAGATAAACAACTGACAGCTAGCATTTGCAATGCCTACAGCAAGCAACACAAGTAAAAAAACAGCAGCTACACATACAAGGATACATGTGGAAGCAAAGTGTGATAGAGCAGGAAGACAGTGACATATGAATTATTTCTGGACATAGAACCCACAAGTGTTAAGTGCGTACCTACAATACTTCAATCAGTAGGCTGCAAATAATGTGAGGACGACGTCGGTGGTGCAGGTTTGCAACTTGTTGGGGCCTGTGGGGGAGCACCACGAGCAGCCTTGTCGTGTGTTGGTGAAGAAGGTCTTATGTCAGCCTCATTGTGGTTCGGTGCAGGACATCCGCTGGTGTCGGTGCAACAGTCACACGTTGGCAAGCCCTGCTGAGTTTGAAGAACCAAGTACACAGCTTAAGCACGCACATATCAAACAATGCAGTGAGCTAATAATGGTGTAAAACATAGTGATATGAACCCAGGCAAATTCTAATTGATATGACAAGCAAACACAAAATTTGGTTAACAAAAATAGTTCTCTGCAGCAACAAGCACACCTAGAATAGGATGGCCAGCTACTCATTTGTTTGAGGGAATTTTACAAGACAAATTCACAATAGGAAGGCGCAGTTTTAGCTACTTTTTCTTATTGTCCCTTTTGTACAAGGGTAGAATCACTGAAAGCGGCATGAATTAATCATTAAAAATGATGGTGGGCAAGCGAAGCGGGCTACGGGCATCAGACAAGGAGGAGGTATCCTTGAGGATTAGGGAATTAATCCCCATCTACCGATATATACATGTGTGCGTGCTTTATTTGATGGATATATGGGTGCATGGAACCAATTCTTGGCGCCCTTAGAGGCGTACATTCCATTCCATCTCACCGCATACAATACATGCATGTAAAGTGGAGATGAGCTATAGCAGCTACTTTCATCCGCATCCCATCCTCGCATGCATTTGCAAATGTGCGAATCGCTTCCTCCTTTCAGGTGGCAAAGGGGATTTTGCTTGTCACTTTGTCGAGATTGCTCGCTCGAACACATTCGGACATCCAGAGCATTCAGGATGGCGCGAATGAATTGTTACTCCTGTTCCTTCTCTCAGGTGGGGCCAAAGATAGCCTTACGGTGAAGCCCATCTGTTAGTGGTTGCTAATATAACGATAAAGAGGTTGTCTCGATCACATTCGGACATTCAGATTAGCATTGATTGGAAGGTCCATGATATACAAATTCAGGTTGACTGCGTATCAGTGGACTTCTTGTGTACGATGTTTTGGATCTAGATGAGCAGGCAAGCACATAGATCAGTGAATAAAAACATTACAACCAGGCATGAACATCAATCAACACAGAATCCTTTCAAATGCCATTTGCTCCTAGGAGACCTCTCGATCTACGATGTCGCCCCACCCTCATCACTTTGCATTGGCAAATCTGAATCATCAGGAACACGGCACACATAGTGCAGAGGCGATTCGGCCAGGAGTCTCACCGGCACCCACGAATTCTATGACCTAGGAAGAAGGGGAGTGGAGGGAAAAATTATCTCACCCTTTGGATCAGCTTTAGGCGCATCAAGGTAGTGCCCGTGGCCTCTTCCACACCTGCCATGACCGGCCAGCCGAGGGAGGGAGGTGCCTAGCGTCGAGGCCGAGCCGAATCCTCCACATCGCGTGCTCGTGGGGGCGGCGAGATGAACGTGGGTAGGCTGTTTGAAGAGGGAGAGAGAGGGCTCAGCGACGGCGTTGGATGTCGTGTTCATGGCTTTCTTCAGGTGGTGAAGGCGGGATCGGGGGTGAGCAGGTGGCGGCGAGATCTTTGGGGCGAGGTGAGGTGAGTGGGAGCAAGAGGGCGACGGCAATGAGGGTGGACAGGGGATGAGCGGCGGGAGCTTCTGAGCGTGGCCAAGCCGACGGAGACTCTGGGCGTGAGATTTGGGTAGGGCGGTAGCGAGATTTGGGGCAGCCGGTGGGCGCGATTTGGGAGAGGAGAGGAGAGGGTGGCGGAAGCGGCGACGAAGCTTCTGGATTTGCGATTTGGGGGAAGAAGAAAAGGTCTAGGTTTCTGTACCCGTGGGCAGGCCAAAATTTGGGTGGAAGATGAATGTAAGGGCGTGAGAGGGTGGGGCCATTTATTTTTAGCGACAGACCATTTGATGGTGTAGCTGGTTTTAGCGTCAGTCAGTTAAACGTTAAATATGAGTACCTATGGCGTCAGACAGTGAGTCCCTAAAATTAGGATTTAGCGTCAGATAGTCTCTTAGTTATCTTTAGCGTCAGATCATTCATCGATAAAAAAATTTAGCGTCAGATGTCTGACGGTGATACGGTGTTGTGGTGTAGTGGTTTCAAGCATATATTTCAAATGTTTCAGATATTTTAGAGGTATGTTGCATATGTGTTATACGGATGTTGCAAAAGTAGATCGAGATGTTACATATGTTGCAATGGTTGTACACGTATGTTGGTGTCTATCCCTAATGTTTTATCTGTTTTCTAGACGTATGTTGCAAGTGTGTTTATCTAGATATTGCATATGTTTCACACATACGTTGCAAGCGTTTTATCTAGATGTTAGGTATGTTTGCAATGTTTTTCAAGTGTTTTTAGTTGTTTTTTTCAAGTGTTTCAGAAGCATGTTAAGTGTTTCATTTGTCTCCAGAAGTATGTTGTAAGTGTTGCATCTAAATATTTTAAAAGTAGAACAGATGCTGCACATGTGATGTGTGTGGGAAGCACGAGGGGAGGCGTGGCGTCTTGGCATGAAACAACGTCGAGGTGGCGTGGGGGGCCCGTGTGGGTGCAATGAAATGCAGGCGTGGGTGAGACATGCGAGTGCAGGGCGTGTGTGTAGGTGCACGCGTGGAAGCGAATCGCACGCAGACCACGGTACCGTCCGATGGATTGGTATCCATCGTGACGTCCGGCGCTAAGCAGTTCCTTCTTTTGTTCGTATAGCCTGCATCTCTTGCTGTTTTATCTTTTTTTTCACTTAACTTTGTAAATTTGATACTCCTCTGTACTAAATGAAAAGGCAGATTACCTACCATTGATGTTCAAAAAAGTTATCATAGATTTTTTATTAAATCTAAAATGTACATTCTAAAATCCTAGAATTCCAATTCCTAAAATCTCTCTAGATTCAAACTGAACCTAGAATTCCATGCCCAGGTGACTAGCGGGTAGCGATTTTAAAACCCCCGAAATACACGCACGGTAATGGATTTGCCGATGTGGCGAAGTTCCCTGCCACAGGATAGCGGATAAGGATGGTGGTGGGCCCGCCCGGGCCCGTTGGCCTCTCACCGGCCGCAGGCCCAACTGGTGGCTGACGCTTGATCCCGTGGGCCCGCCTCCCTCACTGGCTGCTTCTGGAATATCTCCCTTTCCTCCGTTCCCCTCCGCCACTCAATAACTTCCATCGCCATCGCGTCACAAACTGGGGACGGACGCCCGCCGCCGCCGCCGACGACGACGAGCATCCCATCCACCAGGTACCCCGCCCCTTCCTTCCCCTTCCGTTCCTGCTGTGTGGTTGTCGGTGCTGGCGAGCCAACAACTCCGTCGATTTCTTTCTTTGTTTGTTTTATTTAGCACCACACATCCGATTGATTGATTGGAGCTGTGTCTGGCCTCCTGCTGTGACACGTAGTGACTGAAATTTCACACCAGGCGCTGCAAGCAACTGCAATGGCTGTGTACGAGCACTCCAAACGGGCAGCCAGGAATTAGCTACAGCACAGACCCCTGCTCACCACTCTAGGAGTATCTTGAATTCTTGGTCTGGGTGGTGAGTGGCCTTTACAGTTACAGAAGCTTGTGCGCGCATGGCTAGCAATATGTACGGCACCACGGTGGCATGTAGGATGTGCTACAGAGATCAATACGGGACGCCGGCGCCGCGCGAGGTCACATGTCTGGCCAAGAAATCGGAGGCCAGGAGGTGGGCAAACGGGTACCACCTCGTCTCCAGGCTCTGTCAGTGGAAGCCCAGAGGCAGCAAGTCTGATGGTTCACTGCTCGGGCACGGTGGCTGCGATGCTCGCTGCCACTCTTGTGGGTCTCATAACAGCTGCGAATGCGAAACTGAAGAGTGCGATGCTGCTGAAGAAGGTGGCGCCAGCCCTTACAGGTAAGCTTTAACTGCTGCCCTGCTAATCAGTGTGTTTTCTATCAGAGGGAAAATCATGTAGTAATCTTCCTATGCTAGTAGATACTTTAGTCAGCAAGTTCAGTTTCAGAATATATTAAAGCCTTCTTTTCAGTAATGTTGTTTGGATTGGTGGTTATTGTCCCGGGGCCTTAGTACATTTATTTGTGGTAACCTGTACAATAATAATTGTTAAAACAGTTGAACTTTTTCTTAGTGGATCAGTGGAAAATTTGCAAGTGCCCTGTGCATCATGTAAGCCAGCTTTGGGGGTCATGTTCACATTTAACAAACACCAACGCTTGGAATATTTTTTTGGCACATACTTCACTTATGGGCCATCTATTCATCATTGGTTGTTATGCGTCTTTATTATTTGTCTAGTGATTACTGTTATATGCATTTAGGTTTGCATTTGCTAGAGTGTTTTCACTTGTGCATAGTAAAGTCTTCCCACAATATATTATCAGCCTAAATATGTCACCTGCTGTCAGGGTGCTTTGAGAAAACTTATTTTGACTTCAAATGTTTTCTCTGATGATAAAAGCATGGGCAGCCCCTACTTTCTCTTTTTCATTATATTTTTTTATTGAAATATTGAACATAGTTAGCTGACGATCTATTCTTTCTGCTTTAAAGCAAATTTCTATATATGCATTTTCTTTTAATATAGGCTACAATGGCATCATAAGGCTCAATGACTGTGTGTGCAAAGGTGCACTGTTGTTTTTAGACTAGACATCTAACCATGAGTGATTTCTAATTATCTTCCAATGTGTTTGTTGCAGAGATTTCAAGCAACATTCGAGGGAAATCCTCAATTTTCAGATGATCAAGTTCCATCAAAGAAGAAGTCAGCCTATGCTAGTCAAGGGTTGGCTGAAGCCTGCAAATTTGTTTACAATGATGCTAAGTTTGTAAATGAAAGGGCTCAAAGTGACATTCTATTACTTTCACGGTACTCTTCTACTCCAAAGTAGAACCATATTCATATTGCTAAATTTGCTCCTTGATAAAAGCAAGTTATTGTTTGCATAACTGTTTATTTTATTCTTATATCTGATCTACTTTGCATCCTAGTGGCATAACAAGGCTGAACAAACGTGCATGCCAGGATGCTGCTGTTTTGGGCCTGGGGTTTCTGAAGCTTGATGGTACATGCTCTCCTTTTGGGACAAATAAGCTCTTGATATAAAATTATTTATTATTTAAGCTTCATCTAAACTTATCTTGCATTACAGCTCGTGCACGAAAGGATACTCAAAAGATTGACAACACTGTGAAGGAGAGAGCAGCGCGCCTTAACCATTTTGCCAGAGTATGTATCTGTAAGATACTAAATTATTCATTTTTTTTTGTATTCTGTCTCCTTTTTTACATCTATGTAAATAATCAGCATTTTCATGCCTATTCAGGCATTTAAGGAGCGAGCTCAGTCAGACTTGAAGAAAGCTGCAGACAAACATTGGAGTGATGGCGCTTTGGAGGTGTGAACTAGTAGTTCATATTATTTTACTTCAATTTGTTGGAACAATTGTAAGATCTGAGCAATAGTTTCCATTTTTACTGTAGAAAATTGCCAGTACTATTCATATCATATAGGAGTAGTACATCTTTTTTTTTTATCAATTATCAATGCCAGCGCCCTTTGTTTATTGCTGTTGAATTCATGCTAATCTAATGTATTATTGATTTGCAACCAGGCAGATCTGCGACGAGCTGACTTGGTTGTTAAACGACGTGCCATGGAAGACGCTCTCATGGCATTGAAGGTAGGTTTAACTACTTCCGTATCTAGCTCTGAAACTTTGCAACGTCGGGTGTTCAAATAACCATCCTTAGATCTCTACTGTTTCCAATTTTTATTCTGGATATTCTAGCTCATTTTTATTATATGGCGGTTCGAATTTGTATAAAGGGGTGACTAATAGTGAAAGTGCTCATCTTTCTAAGAACTTATTTAGTTTGAACACCAAATCAATAGTTGCTATGCCTTTGACCCACCTGTTCATAGATACATTCCTCTTCCAAACATTCCCTATGGTGTGGTGGGCAATTTGGTGTGGCAATGTGTGGAAGGAAACCAAACATGCCTTACATAATCACACCGGGAAGTTATCTAATGCAACATTGAATGTCGTGTCTGATTTACCTACTAACTAAATAAAGCAGAATTGGAACTATGATTATGTGGGAATTTTTCTTATGGCACTCTACACGTCTACATGCTCCCATCAACATAGAAGGTTCAGTGTTCTCTGATCCAACACAGTTTGCAGACGAATCAATATTTGCACATTGCTTTGTATACTAAAGAGGCTGCTTTTGTAATGAAAGACTTTCACATCTCTTGCCACAACAAAATTTGCTTCAAGTATAAATTTTGATTTCACACTACCGAATTTCATTGTATCCCAACTTGATAACTATAAGCATTGCTCCTATATCATTTTTATTATAACTTCATATACTTGTATGTAATTTTACAAATTTCAATGCAGTTTGTTCAGGACATCCATGACATGATGGTGAACAGATTATATGAGCAGTAAGTTCTAGAGAGAAAGTTTGAAATGATAGTTTTGGACGAGCACATAGCTGCTTCATTACAGAGAACTACTTTTTACTTTTGATCTAGTACTTGCTCACTATGGATCACTTTGAATTAAGCTAAAATTTACTCATAGGCTTCCAAAGGACGGTTCATCTTCTCGTACAAATTCAACAGGGTTTATTTCACTTGAGAAGAATGGGAAGACTCTTGAACTGTTTCCTGGTGAAGTTTCTGCTGATCAAATTTATGCCATCGAGGTACTTTCTACATAACTTATTTAGCAGCAGTCTCAGTCCCTCTCCCTCCCTCTCTCTCTCTCATGGGCACAGTCTTATCATAGTGTTAACTTTTCCATGATTTATCCTTCCTAGGAAGCATACCAGAGTATGGCATCTGCCTTTTCTGAAGCTGATGGTATTGACTACACAGATCCTGAGGAGGTGAGCCATTTTAAACTGATTCGATCTATGTCAAACCTCCTACCTTCATATTTGATGTCATACTTTTCTGTTTGTGAAGCTTGAATTGTTAATAGCAACTCTAATTGACCTGGATGCCATGGATGGGAAAAGGAGTGTTTCCTTGATTGCTGAATGTTCAAGCTCTCCAGACGTTAATACTAGGTACATAGAGACTTCTTTCCTGCTGAAGTACCCATCAATCACTTGATTTCAACATAAAAGCTAATGTTTAAATACTGTACAATGATCATGTTGCCAAAAAACGAGTTTGGGTGCCAATTTCTTATTTTCAATGGCCCTAGTTCCCATTAGATTATTTTATTTTATATTTTAATGCTTCTATATTTCAGGAAAGCAATACCTTAATTCCCTTGTTCTTATTTTGTAAAATTCAACAATACATTGGTACTACTATATTCCATTGATGAACATTATAAATTTCTACTCTTTGTAGGAAAGCCCTAGCTAACGCATTGGCAACAGCTCCATCTATGTGGACTCTTGGGAATGCTGGCATGGGTGCATTGCAGGTTTGAATTCATCTCTCCTTCCTACCTATCCAAAATGATAAAAGAAAAAGCATAAAAGGCTGTTTGGCACTTCATATCTGAATTTCTATAGGCTGAATGTCTGAGGGCTTATTTGGTTTCTCACCCAGGCTTGCTATTGAGCAAAGAAGTCATAATTTAATTTGGGCAAAGAGTCAAAGGCTCCGTTTTTTCTTGAGAGAGTCAAAATTGGTTCTCTAATAGAAAAGGATCATTTCTCCCACAAAAAATCTGGCAAGGGTAGACTAGGCAACGAATCATGGCTCTTAATCTCGAGAGTGCAGGCTATATTCCACAACTAAATGCCCACATGATTAAGAAATTTCATATTTCAACCATCCATGTTCCAGACCATACAAGCTGAAGACATTTATGTTTGATTCTCACTTCGTTTTCGGACTTGTGACACGAAGCTATATTTCTACCAAAGTTCTTTGGTAAGGTTGTTGCAATTTCTCTCCTTTTGGTTGCAGAGATTGGCTCAAGACCCCAATTATGCTGTAGCTAGGGCTGCATCAAGCGCCATTGATGAACTCAAGAAGCAGTGGGAACTTGAAGAAGGTGACAGTCTGAGGTTTGTAATGAATCAGAATTTGGCTTCCGAGGATGCTGATGGTGACAATTCAGCAGCAGATGATGACACATGAGGTGTAAACAAGTTGAAAGATTCCAATTTCGATGGCAATGGACCGATGCATAAGAAATCATCATGGCCAGCACATAAAGCATTCCTGTTTAACTTTTAGGACTGAAGATCAGATAGATATAGGTATTTTACATACTTCTAGTTGAAGGGAAAAAAAACGTGTTGTGAAACTTGGTAAATGGGGAATAAAAAGAAGAGTAAATAGAAGTCTGTTCCCTTTGGATATTGTTCAGACATGAAGCAAAATGTTGTATTTGAAAAGCACGTAAAAGTGAACGAATTCCCTTGTGGGAATATGTAGTCTTATAATAGTGGCCCTGGTTTTATAGTACTGTAATTGGCTCAAATTCTGTATCTGGACAACAAATGGAACATGGTTTTATCTGCGCTGCAAATTGTGGATTGAGTATTACTGTTATCTGTTCAAAACTGAAAATCAGCATAATTACCATCTGCTGGCAACATTACCTTTAGAGCAACTTCAGCAGGAGGAACTAAATCAGGGCCCACATTTCGATTTGGGTGCTTTCCCTCATTTTTGTTGGTTCTCTATTTTGCATTTGCTCTGGCAGAAGCCCCTAAACCAAAGCTCCCAGATTCTCTTAGTGGACACTGATCATTGGGACCCACTTGTCATCTTCAATCTTTCACCTTCTGAGCTATCCCAATGCCACATAAGGGTGGATTTGTGTGGCCACCCTAAATTGATGGTTCTAGTAGGGGCCCTGCTAGACCTATTTTTGGTCTTTGCACCCATATTTAGCTATGTGGACTCAAGCAGGGACCTTGTAAGAGTTGCTCTTACCAGAATCGACACAGTTCCTCCATTCCAATTTTTCCCAGGACAATTTTGTTTTCCAACTGTTATTTTAGCATTGCACACCAGAATCGACAAAGTTCCTCCATTCCAATTTTTTCCCAGGGCAATTTTGTTTGCTAACTGTTTTTTTAGCATTGCACACCAATATGGATTGGCTACCAAGGTTCTTGCCTCCTTTGGTTCTGATTTTTTTTTTTAACTTATGGTTTTGTTCAAAAGAAATTTATGTATGGACTCTTTGGGACAAAGAATTGCAAAACTACTAAACTAGAACCAGGGCTGGGCGCAGGTTGTACATCTCATTATAGATTGGCAGATTTGTGGCTCTGTGGCATGCGGGTAGGTGCCATGCTCCCTGACGCCCATCTCGGCGCTAGCGTAGGTTGAAAACGGACGAAACATATCCGACCCGATCCGTCCGTTTCTCTATGACCTGCCGTTTTCGTGTTTTTAGAAAAGATCTAAAAACAGGACGGGAGCCGGGTCGGAAGTGTCCGGGACCAGGACGGAAACGGAAGAGGCTTCATCCGCCCGTTTTTCTGGATCCCGTATTTGGCCGGAAATATCCCGTATTTGATCCGTATTTCTTAAATCCGGGATGATCTGAAGCGATAACTCCCAAGAGGCCCAATAGCTAGAAAGCCCACGTCTGCAGCCCAATAACGCAAACCCGGTCCCCATCCGGCCTGGGCTGGTTCTGCCTTGCGCTCAAACTGTAGCGGCATACTGCCTGCTGATGTGTGCATGCGGGCGCATGGCATGCTTCGTGCACTCCAGAAGTGTTTTTTTTAAAGCGCCTTCCTTTCTTGTGGGCATTAACAACTAAGTGGGAGCACACTTGCACTTGTACGAGAGCACGATTGATAAATGAGAAGGATGATTTTTATATTTGCGTTGGTGTTGCTGAACTCCAGAATTGTGTGGTTGCTTACTTTGTGCTGGTTTTAGAATGTCATGATCATGATATGTGATTGTGATTCCGGCTTAAGTTCCAGACTTCCGTCCGTTTCCGTCATCTTTCCGCCTATATTTGTCCGTTTTTTAATACCCGTATATTCCGATCCCGGTCCCGTTTCCAATGATGAAATGTAGAAACGGAACAGGAAAAGAGTTTTTCCTTCCATTTCCATCCGTTTTCAACCAAGAGTGCCCAACTACCTGCCCGTACACAATTCCTCCTACAATGACAACCAACGCATTTCTCTCTCCACTGTCCCCCCCCCTCTTTGATCTCTCAAATGTGCCGGTAAAACTTCGATTTGAGTTGGGGTTCCGCTAAAGCAAAGTATCATTTCTCCTAAAGCGATCGCTGTGAACTAGCAGTGGTCCTAAAACTATCGCTGACGGGTTAAGCCTTGACCTGACAGTGATAATGTCTTGTCACTGTCGGGAGTGGAACTGGAATTGATAGTCGAGCCCCATCACTGTCGACGGTTCTTCGTCAAATTCAATTCCGGCATTGGTACCAAGTTTAGATCCGACGGTGATCCATAGATCTGTATTAATTTGTTGACCATCCTTAGCATACCTTCACATTTTGTATATTGTAAGATTGTAAAAAAAAAGATTAGTTATAGAGACTTGATCCTGCATACCTAATGGAAATTTCTGTGCCATTAATTAAAATATTAATGATCATTAAATTATTTAATTTTGTACTATACTATATGGACTTGGGGTTCTCTATATATACCTAATTAATGGCTCCACCTCTACCTGATACCGCCCTGAGCTGACAAAGCATTTGCGTCAGCCGTACGTCAGGCATGGGTGCCGCGGCCGCCCAAGTATCGTGAGAGTATATATAGGGTGGTGTTTGGTTTCACCTACTAAATTTTAGTTGTTGTCTTATTAGATGTTTAGATATATGTATGGAGTATTAAATATATATTATTTATGAAACTAAATGCATAGATTGAGACTAATTTGCGAGACGAATTTATTAAGTCTAATTAGTTCATATTTGACAATGTTTTGCTACAGTAAACACGTGCTAATGATGGACTAATTAGACTTAATAAATTTGTCTTGTGGATTACTGAGGACTTCTATAATTTATTTTTTTATTAGTATTCGAACACCTCATGTGACATCTCTTAAACTTTAGTCCCTACATCTAAACACTCTCTAGGTTGACGTCCCTGGCTTTGGACCCACAGGGTCCATACAATTTTATTTCCTTGCTTTGGCTTTGACATTGGCTCCATGAGCGAGATGAATGTGCTTTTATGCTGGGACAGCGATGGCGAGAACCACCCGTGGATGCGACGATCCATGCTTAATTGGGCAAAAGGTCCAACAAATTTTATAGTATATCGGAGCTCGGAGGTTAGTTTTTTCGACATTGCGGCGTGATCGCATTTGAACCTATCAAACGTTGAACATTTGGGCAAGTTGATCACTCGACTAGTGGTTCACCTTTGGCAAAACTGACTGAAAACAAGCATACTAACACTACAGCGAATTGCAAAACCAGCTTTATGAGACCATACATTAACAGAGGCGGCAATATTGTCCGTCTCTACCTCTCTTAACCAGACCATACATACAGCGGTCAGACGTCATCCGGACTGACGCCCGCACGCATGCATGCTGCAGCGACTGCTAGCACGCCTGCGCCTACTTCACGTAGGGTCCGCACTGCTTCGGTTCCCATGCCTACGCACGCCCACACGGGGCCGTGTCTCGATATGCGCTCGCTCCGTTTCTTGCGCTTGCTGCTCGCGCCCCCTCTACTCCCACGCACATGCACGTAGGCCCAATAGCTGTAGCAGACGGCTACTGTATGTGGGTCCCACTGCAATATGTGCAGCATCAGATCTACTTTTACAACATTTAGATGAAATACCGCAACATATGCTTGAAACAGTTGAAACACTTGCAACATACGTCTGAAACACTATGAAACACACGTGTGTAACCATTGTAAAACATATGCAACATCCAGATAAAACACTTGCAACATACACCTGAAACACTTGAAACATAGCTTGCAACATGCATGTATATGCAATATCTAGATCTACTTTTGCAATATCCAGATAAAACAATTGCAACATACGTATGAAAACATATGAAACATTTGAACATACACTTAGAAACACCATTGCTACATGTACAACATCCCGATCTACTTTTGCAACATTGATATAAAACAATTGCAACATAACTACGAAACATTTGAAACAGTTGATGCAGACGCTTGCAACATGCGGTTTCAGCACAAAATCTCCTTGGTGCTTGGGAGAATAGAGGCTCGTCGGCGTGTGGAGTTCACCGGTATAGAGCTCGCCGGTGGCGCGGAGATCCGCCGCTCCGATGGAGAAGGCCGCGACAGGTCCGGTGGAGAAAGCCGTGGCGGGTCTCCACACTGTGCGGGTGGAGCGCGAGGTGTGCATGGGGTAAGCTCCGCTGCGAGCTATGCATGGGCGAGTTCTATCCCGACCGTCGCAAGCTACGCGCAGGCGAGATCCACCCCAGCCACGGCGAACTGGGCAGGCGGAGCGCGAGATGTGCGCGGGCGGGCTTCGCTCGAGCTGCTGTGAGCTGCAAGTGGACAAGCTCCACCACCCTGGCCGTAGTGATTTGGGCAGGCGGACCACGAGAAGTGCGCGAGCGGCCTTTGCCCCGGCTGGTCGCCGCGAGCTGTGCGGGTGGAGCGCTGCGAGCTGTGCGCTGGCCGAGCACCGCTTTAGTGCTCTTTTTTTTGAGAAACTGCTGTGTCTGGAGGGTTGGACGCGCGGATAGGAGGGGATCGTTTGGGCTTGCGTCATGACCCATGAACGTGAGCGTCCGTGAAGAGCATTACCGTACTTACATGTTGTAATGCCCGCCTCACAAAAAGTCCAGCCGGCCATTGGGCCATGGAGGTCTGCTACTGAGCTGAGCCCATCGTGCCAGGGCATGGCGTGGCAGTGAAGCCAAAGAAAAAGGAGGCCGAGTTGGAGTGGGGGTAGAAGTGAACAGAGATGGAAGGAGAATAGTGTGTGGCGGTAGAAAGGTGGGGAGGGAGAGAAGTGGCCAGGGTTCTCTCACCCCACTGTGGACGTTGGATCTTCATTAACAGGGATGAGTCAAATTGTTGGATAGTACACCATATTTGCGTGATGCATACGTACGCGACTACGCGTACGCGTGGGGATCCTCAGTCTCCAGTCCTATCTCCTGTGTGTCTAATAAGG